AAAACAACGCAATCAATGGAGGTCGACCACTTGCTCCAGTAGACAACCACGATTACCTAAAACTACGCGTCACCATAGGCGCAAATCACAAAGTAGACAAATTTATCACGAGGGACAGCGCTGGTACGTGTTCCTGCTAACCTTGAACTGGTGATTTACATTGGGTAAGCGAAGATCACACCCATAGCGATCGACCTCAATCAATATTGTATGAGTTACTTACGTATTGGTAAGGAGTACTGCGAGGTTATCAACGTAGCTTAAGTCGGACAGTTTGCCACACATAAGTTCAATGCCATCCAGAAAGACCATAGAGAGAGCGGAGTTTTAGACACCATTGATGGCGAAGTCGGAGAGATGAAGACCTGGGACACTGTTGAGTACTCAAAACTGCGAGGTTTATTAGCTGAAGATCCCAATCTGTGTCGCGCCGTGAGAATGCAGCGATCTCAAGANCCCCCCCCCCGTCAGAAGTCTCATGGCATTGTCTGATCAAAGGCTGCAGGGAGAAAACAGACAACGATGTCTGACCTTTGATATATATGGCAGTAAATGGAGAGCGAAGACATGATAGAAGCGACCAGTTTGGGCGAAATTCGGTTTGCACTTTACAAATCTGCCATCCATGGGAACGGGAGCGTTGACAAAGGATGATGAATACAACGAGTTATGGTGCAACAACGATCAAGGTTGTGGCTGTCCGGGGGCCCTTTGATTAGATTGGAGGATTTTTTGGGGTATTTTAAAGGGCAATTGTCATTCCTTCAAAAAAAGACGAGACAAATCGTCTAGAACTTTTTCATTACACACATTAGTGTGATGAACAGCAGACGGGGTGGACCCCATAGTCAATAACACCTGTTTAGTGACCGGAATCTGTAACCTAAGCCCCGGGACTTGGAGTGGTGAACCACATAAGGCCCCACTAGGTTAGGTATTCTACTGAACCGGACGATGGCAAAGTGGCCCATTACCAAAGTTGAGTGGTGGCAGTGGGGCCCGAACTTCAGAACATAGGGTCCAAAACGCCCTGGTGACAGCGACTAAGATACTGCGCCATCATGACACTGAATGACTTGGATCCCTGGGGGAATCAAGGGACACAAAATGCAGAGCACTGAGGATGCTGGCATGGCAGACCAGTTAAACGGCATTGGGAAATGCTCAGCCAAATGCGTCAATCATCCTGTGAGGCTCGTCACACGTATGCCAAAAACTTCACTGATCAATAGGTTAAAGCAGAGCTTATGTGGACCAGTGGCTTGAACTAGCTCAAGCTTTCCTTTGGAACAAGAAGTTTCCATTTCCCGGGCCAGAAGGGACCACCAAGTCTCTCAGATCTGGTTCACGCCAGTAGTTAACTGTTGCGCCCGAAGATGCTCGTGACCAGATGGTACTGAATGAGGTAAATGGAGAAGGTTAAGCGAACGCAAAGAGATTCAGGATAAGCCAAAACTGTCTACATCGGCTTCATCGTGCTTTTCTGACATGAAACCAGAGGTGTACGGGGCCACTCAGCGGAGTAGAAGAAATTTTGATCAATGTTGAATTTTGATGTGGATAGCACTTTTTGTTGAAACAGTTTGCTGACGTATGTATACACACGATGGACTTATTCTGTCACCTATGGAAACGAATTAAAACCTTGGTGAAGATTTATGCATGACTGATGCTTCAGTAGAACCTACAGTATAGGACAACGTGCTCGATTTGGATTCGGTCCTTACTCGTCGACGGAGCGTGCTTGGATCCAGCCTTGTAAGGCTGCTTTTGCACCAGGAATAAGCGATAAACCAGCACTGCTGGTTTCCGGTCTCCTGTGGACTTCAGAAGAAAGGCAGTTCTTGAATTACCTTTTTTTCAAAAAAAAACATCCGTGCGACTAAATGTGAAAGGGATAAAACAAGTTTTCAGGAGGATTCACTGTTTAGTTATAAGAAACTGCGCACCCGCAAGATTACAATGGGATATTGAAGGCCATATTAAAACGAGCGACTTTGAAGTCTACCGGTGAAGTTAAATGGGAGAGATCAAACCAAAGGCCTCGAACTCTAGTACATGTCATTGGCATCGTCTTTAAACGCTTGACGATGATCAAAAGTCACATTGTGTAGCTAATGAGAAACCATGGTATGCCTCTTCTCGAGCAAAAGGTGAAAATGGAATTGAGGGGCGTACTGATGTTCAAGTGGATTGCTAGCGATCGCCCATCCACTTAGGGCTTCTGCACCATAAATTATGGGACTGACCTAGTCATTTTCGGCATTGGCTTCAACTAAAATTCGAGTGACATTGACTCGTATTTTATCTGTGAAAAGACCGGGAGCCTTTGGGGGATGGGAGCTTCTGATAATACCTTTCGTGTGTAGGTTAGACATCCATATCAATGCACTTTCGTAGAAAGGGTCAAGTGTATCGGTCAGAAACGTACCTCCTATTTCTTGCCAACGCACAGGGACCTCCACAATAGGCATATCGAAATGACGGGCCAAATAGAGCAGATCCACGTCGAATGCCCAACGTTCGACGTGTAAATTGTGAAACAAGACGCGTGCAGCCGAACGGCTGAACAGCTTAAACCCGCATTGTGTGTCCCGCACACCGCGCACGCATAATGACCACACACAGAATTTGAAACCATACATGAGCAGATTGCGCAACGGATGGCGTTTAGCCAAAGCTTCGCGTTCCAGATGCGCACGGGATCCACAAATTACAGACATGCTACCGTTCTAAAATGGAAAGTGAATGATTCAATGAAGCGAATAACGATGGAAACACGGTCGGATAATTTGCTACATAACAAGTCCTGTCTTCGGTATTTTTCATTTGCATGAACTTTTACCTTGGTTACTGCTGAGCGATTACGGTGATGTCCAACTTTGTCAAATACACCGATGAATTTTTGAACTTTATCAAATAGAACAAGCTTGAAGCTACAAACTGTGTTAGGAGAACAACATGGATTAAAGCTAAAGGACGTTCACAAAACTTTCGGAAAATCCGACGGAGCATTTTATCGGTTGGAGAGTAGCTCTTCAGAAATAAACCATCTCGATTTAGTGTCCCCATGATTCTCAGTTGTAACGTCCGATCTCCAGTCGGAAATATGACCGAACTCATTTAAATGGTCGAACTGTGAGAATATTCTCAGTTAGGGATAATCACGCTTTAATGAAGCTAACTTCGCAACGGGATGGATGAATAGCAAAACTGGATCGTTTCGTTAGCAACTATGTCAGTCGTCCAATGCCTTACTCCAAACGGGGTGTTTTTATCAGATTTGTCAAAAACCAGGTGTCATCTGACCAAAAACGTACCTTTCTATTCTACACTATATAAATATTATAATGTAAGCCCGAACATTCAAGTTCCTCTCGATCACTCATTCCTGTCGATATATATATATATATATTTCAAGAGAGAATGGAGGCGTACACTGAGTTGTGGAAGGTTTATTGTAACGTTTCGATCCAAACTAGGACTCGTTGTCAAACGTAAATAAAATGAATCAAATAATGGGATTACCGTCTTTCCGTGCGCCTGTGTGCTGTTTGTACGTCTATCAGTTCACCAATCATCACTGGTTTTGCGAGTGTGACGTAATGTTTGTCTATCTCGATGTGTCGGTTGAACGAATTGACCGAGTGCAGAGCTTCGAGGATTAACCGTTCCTCCTCCTTCTTCGCTCGCGCCAGAACCTTTGCGTTATCGATTGCGATCTCGTGACCTGTCCGTGCGCAGTGGTTCCAGATTTGTGACTTCGGGTCAAAGCGTCAGATGGCAAGCTTGTGTTCGTGTAGGCTCGTGTGTAGTTGTTTGCCTGTCTCGCCTATTTAGTGTTGGTTGCAGCCCAGGCACGGGATTGCGTAGATTACTCCTGATCGTTCATACTGTTCGACTCGATGCTTGCCGTTGAAAAGGGATGATCGCACGGTTGCTGCCGGTTTGTGGGCGTCTTGATTCCCAACGGTCGGAATATTCGTTCGGTGGCTTCTGACGTGCCGCGTATGTAGGGTAACATTATCCAAGTTCGTTTTTGTATGTGTTGCTTGTTTCTTACCTCTGAGGCACGCTTGGATAAAACTCCTGGGATATGCGTTTGATAGGAACAGTTGAAAGAGTCGACTTATTTCTCTTGTCCTTAACTCCTATGTGCTACGTTGTGTGTTTGCTCGGCGGAATAGACTTCGCACACAACTTTTTAGGTGGCACAAATGGTGATTGCTGTTGTATTTGAGGATATGGTCCGTCATGGTCAGTTTTCGGTAGACCGTGGTTTGGATTCTTTCGTCGGGTTGCCTCATGAGACGGATGTCGAGGAAGGTGAGTTGTTCTTTTTTTCTTCCTCTCGCGTGAAGTTGATACCGAGCACCTGCTCGTTGATCAGTTGGTGGAACTGATCTACCGTGGAGGCTCTGAGTATGACGAATGCATCGTCCACATAACGTATACACAGACGAGGTTGTAGAATTTTAAAGGCTTCGAAGTGTTTCATAACCGCATCCGCAAGCAGTCCTGAGAGTGGCGAGCCCATTAGAGTTCCTCGTATCTGCTGGTATACCTTCCCGTTGAATTGGAAACAGATTTCCATACAGAGTTCTACGAGTTTCACCATTTTGTCCACGGAAAGTTTCGTTCTTAATTGCAAATTTTGGTCGTTTTGC